ACCCTGGCTGGGGAGAAACTGGGGAGAATGCCCAGACCCTGTCCTGGGCATTTACCTCTGAGGATGTTATTCCAGGAGTGTTTTTCTGGTTAAAGGCAGCTGTGCCCACGTCAGCTGGGGCAGAGCATAAAGCTGGCCCATCTAGTGATGTGCAGGGCAAGGCTGCCAGGACCTGGCTGGCTGGGCTGAGTTTATTTTTCTAAGGCTCCCACAATCTGACCACTGTGGCCCCAGCCCCTGGGGAGGGGGTGGGGCTGGTTCCTATTATAAATAATATGGCCAGACAGAACTTCCTGGCAGGCTACTGAGGTGCAGAAGGGCCCAGGCATGGCAAGCCAGGTCTATTTTGAGGAAATGGATCATACCTAGGTAGTCTGGGATCATCTTGTTCAACCAAAGTAATATCCCTTGAGCCAAATATTTTGGTTCCATGTGTCTCACCCAGATTTTCAGGATGGGAGAAGCAATGGATGGATGGATGCATGGATGCACGGATGGATGCATGAATGGACAGACGAATGGGAAGGATGGTCCAAAAGCCTCCACTTCTGGGAGCCACCAGCATTCAGAGATATGTTGAGGGTGGGCAGAGCTGGCTGCACTATGTCCCCAGCATAGGGCTCTTGGGATTAGACCTGAGCCAGCAATGGACTTTTATTACCCAAAGTGCTCTGCTTTGGTCTTTCCCATACTCCTGTGTGGCTGCCTTGGACTCAAGATTCTCCTTATGCTCCAACCCTACTGGCGTGGGTCATCTTGCCTGCTCACCCCACTGACACCCTGAGCACCCTGCCTGCTCAGGCTCCACGTGGTTAGTGCGGAGACCCGGGAGCTCAGAACTTCAGAGGAAACAGAACAGGTAGCTGTTGGCAGCCAGAGCAGGACTCACACACTTACATACTGCCTGGCCCTCCAAGCCTGCCCTACCTACCCTGGCCTGATAATTTTTCTTCAAAGAGAATGAAAAACTAAAGATGTGGGAATCAAGTATGGAGGCCCAGGAAAGAGCTGGGGATTTATTTAACCCTAGTCCCTAGCTCCGAGCGACTGTGTGTGTGTGTGTGTGTGTGTGTGTGTGTGTGTGTGTGTGTGTGTATGGCGGCAGCGGCAGAGGGGGGGCAGTGTGCAATGTTTCACTAATAGCTGCCTGGGTCCGAGCAGTCTGGGAAGCAGAGAAACTACATCACTCCCAGCAGCGATGGAAGGCAGCCGCTGCTGACCAGCTGCTCAGGGACCTTCTGTTCCTGCCTGTTCCCATTCTAGAAAATGAAGTTAGGGTAGGAGATGCTCTGTGTGGTTGATGTCCGCGTGCCTCTTCAGTCTGACTCTGTGCAAATACCGGGTGTGGCCCCAGGCACCTCCAACATTCACCCAGAGTGGAGCCTGGGGGAGGCCTCAGGTTCCTAGCCGGTACCCTCAGGGATACCCCAAAGATATTCCCTTCACTGCTCTGGGGCTCCTCAGGATAGTTGCTCCCCAACCCTGCTTTTGATAACAGGCGTGGTCTCCCTCAGGATGCAGGGGCTCTGGCTGCAGGTACCCCTTTCTCTGGGGTCTTCACTGAGCGGCCTGACTCTCTCTCGGCCTCAGCTGGGAATCAGTCAGCCCCTCAGATCTGGGAGGAGGGGGTATTCTCTCTGGAGGACACTTTGGGTGCCAGGAGAAGCATGTGCGAGTCAGATGTCATGTTTTGAGATCCCTTTGCAAGTGGATGGCTTCTCTGTGGCCACCCACCCAGCACTCTGGAGACTCTCTTGGGAAAGCCACCACTAGAGTACAAATGCCACTTCAGCCTCCATTTTGGGTGCATGTTGGTGATGTCCCACAGATATCTGAGGCCTGGCATAGAGACCAGCTTCCTCCTAGTCTCTGCCCATACCAGTCCCTCTGTAGTCCCTTCCCAGAACCCTCCCTCTGGTCCACAGCTCAGAAGACCCAGCCTCTGTGGGCCTTTGGAGGCAGATGGGCTTCCTCTCTCTTCACTGCCCCCACCCTTGGTTTGCACTTGTCTTGTGCTCTGGTATTCTCTCCCACCTGGCCTGCCTTTCATGGAACCTTTAGTCCTCCATCCTCAGCTTCCCACTGGGAAAGGGGGAAGGGGTGCATGCTAAGCCCCTTCAGCTACATGTTTGCATCAGTAAGAGTCCAGACTGAAGGAGAGGAATGGACCCCCTGCTTTGAAAGGAAGTAGGTATGAATCATTTCTGGAAAATGGCATTGGAGGAGGTAGGATTCAGGGCCTGGAAGCCACATCTACTAGGCGTCTGGGGAGTCCTTGCTGGGGCCCCTGGGTGTGGGCTCTCTGAATTGGCCAAACTGCAAGAAAAGCATCAGGAGGCCAGCCATGGGGAAAGATGACATGTCCTGGATTCAGTGGAGTCCCCTATAATTAACGTAATTGCCATGTGGCTGCTTCCCTGAGTCCAGCAGAAATCTTCGGGTCACCACTGGCCCGTCAGCCCTCCACAGGACTTGGCGTGAGTGAGGAGGTGCCAGAGACCATGGTGGGCCTCCTGTGGGTGCCTGACCTACTTGAACTGCCTGGAATTGCCGCTCTGAACTCAGGGGGTACTGAAGGGGCCAAGGGTGCTGGAGGAGCTATGACCCTCCCGGGGTGGGGTGGAGAGAGATGGATGTAGCTACTCACTGATAGACAATACGAAGAGTGAAAAGATGCCCACCACATGCCACAGGCGCATGTCCCAGAACACCACGGTCTCCTTGGTCAGTGGGGGCGGCTTGGGCTTGGGCGGGGCCGTGCTGGGCTGTGGGTCAACAGAGAAAGGAATGAGCCAGGCACAGGCCAGTGGGCTGGGATGGGGTCAGCAAGGACTCGGCCCACACATTTTAGAATCCCCAAAATGTTTCAGACATTCACAACCAACACCCTAGACCTCAGAAAGTTCCAGATTTAGAATAAAAGCAGTGATCAGAGTCCCAGACCGTGGCACCTGGCACTTGGACTAGAAGAATGGTTGCTGCTTGGGGAAACAAGGCTCAAAGGAGCAAGTGTGGACACCCTGTCCCAGCCAGCTCTGCTGGGGTCTCAGGACCAAGGCCAGGGGCAAGGCAAGGCCTGCATCATGGGCCCCGTGTGCTGCTCGGGTAGACCGGCTTTGTTCTCATCTCCCAATAGAGCTCTACTGCTGGGCTACAGGGCTCAGGCTCTCCTCACGCAGGTGTGCACACACTGATGCCTGTCCCGCACAGGGCTCAGGCTCTCCTCACGCAGGTGTGCACACACTGATGCCTGTCCCACACAGGGCTCAGGCTCTCCTCCTCATGCAGGTGTGCACACACTGACGCCTGTCCCACACAGGGCTCAGGCTCTGCTCATGCAGGTGTGCACACACTGACGCCTGTCCCACACAGGGCTCAGGCTTTCCTCATGCAGGTATGCACACACTGACGCCTGTCCCACTAAAAGCCACAATTCATCCACCAGAAGGCCAGCCAGGCTAGCCTTAGAAAAATAGTAATGTAGCGCCACCAGGTGGCTAAAAGATGTAAGTGTAGCTAAGGAGGACACCACACTGCTTTGGGGATCTGCCGGCTCCTGACTTAGGGACACTATCGTGTCTGTGTTTTCTAGAAGGCATAGTGATGTCTCGACTTGCCTGAGGGTATTCAAAGGTAGTTCTGCCTTGGGTTTCTAGAAAATACAATCTTCTCTGGGGGGATGGGGGGACACACCCCTGATCTATGTGTTTTAGAGTTGTGGTTTGCTCTGGGTGTGTTTGTTTTTATAGATGCTGTGCTGGGTGTTGAACCCAGGGTTTTGTGTGTGCTAGGCCAACACTCTACCAACTTAGCTTCATTCTCAGCCTGTCCCGGGTGTTTCGAGGGTACGTGACTTTGTCCTGAGTGTCTATGGGACATGGCTGTGCCTTGTGGAATCCGAGAGGCTAGTTTTGACCAGAGATATAATCCTGTCTCTGTCAACCAGTTTGGCTAAGGGACAAAGAAGGGGGTGGGACCAGGCATTTGTGCAGTACGTTGTCTCCTGAATGATCAGTAAGAACAGGCTTGGGAGTCCCCCGTGGCTATCTGAGAAAGAAAGGCCATCTGTCACGCAATCTCTCTCCAGCTCCCACACCCCCACTGGGGTCCATAAACACGGGAAGACATCTGCTGGGATCTGGGGACTCCCTCATCTAACAACTGCTACCCATGGGGCAGGTGGCACTCAGAGGAGATCACTGACCTATGCCAGGCATCTCAGAATCTCTGAGCCATAGACTGGTACATGGTTCCTAGCTCTTTGCTCCTCACTAAGAGGGCCTAGAACAGAGACTCCTTCCTTTACGCTAGACCTCGGTTTCTCTCCCTGTAATTGGAGTGGGGTAGTGCCATCTGCCTCTGAGAACTGTCCAATCTGATGGTAAAATGGGCAATAACATCCCACTAAATCAGCAGCATCCCTTGGTGGATTGGGGAACCCCTGTGCAGGCAGGCAAGTGTGTGGATACATGCCATGCGTGGGATTGGGCACATATAAATGGGCAGAGGGCATATGTGTGGTTGCAGCAATGTGTATGCGCTTGGGGTTGGTGACTGCAGCATTAGATTTGGGGGCTTGGCGGTTACTGTGCCCTGTCTCACAGGTCTGGTGTGTTGGTCTGACTGACTGTCTAACTGGAAGAACCTGACCAGGCTCTTGGGTGGAGGGTAATGGGCAACAAGCAGGCATCTTATGGTGGGTCCTGGTCAAGGTAGAAATTCTGAACTTTGGAGGTCCTGCCTCCTCCAGAGGCACAGCCTGGTGGACGGGGATGCTGCAGGGCCGGACTGAGAAGAGACGTGGTTCCCAGCCGGCCAGCATTTCTCCTGCTTCCTTGGAAAGAAGGGCTAGGCCTTGCTTGAGATGGGAGCGGATGGGCTGCAAATGTGATTTCCTCCGCTGAGCTGGGAGACGAGCTCCTAGGAGTGGGGAGGCTCCTTGCCTCAGAACTGCCTTGCCTGTTGCCCCAGGCTTTGCTTTGAGGACAGCTCAGTTTCTGTACAGGGGCCTCAGGGCAGCCGGTGAGAGACCTGAGCGTGCTCCCTGGGGCCCAGGCCAGGCTGGCTTCCCTTACCGGCCGGGTACTGAGGCTGACATCTGACTCCAACAGCCTCTTCACGGCCCTGGTCAGTTGCAGAAGGGACATGCTACACAGGAGTACAGGTCTCTATACACCATGAGACGCCACCCTCAGGCCCTTCAGTTCCAAGTTATGTCTCTTTAAAGCCCTCTGAGTAGACTGGCTCTGTCTTCCCTATCCCACCCTGTCTCTCAGCAACTGCCTCCACTCTGCCCTGTCTACCCTGGCTCCTGGCCCTGACTCTTGGGTCTTCACCCTTTGCCTCCAGCTCCTGACTTGTAAGCCTGTTGAGCTACCTCCTCCTGGCTGCCTCGCCCCACCCATCTTCTTCACCTCCTTGCTGGGCAGTCTCCTCCCAGCTCTCCCACTCTGCGGCCCCTCCTCATTTATCCTCTTCCTTCCAAACAGGAGCTGTTCACGATATGTCCGCTCAGAAACCTTCTACAGCTCCCGTAATCACTAGGACCTATTTGGATCTTCCAGTCCCTGGGTCCTGCCTAGGGACCCTGGAGTACTTCCATAGAGAAAGGGCAGTTCCCACAGCGTACCCTAAATCCAGGCTCCGACTATCCCCCATTAGACGAGAAGTCAAGAAAGCTAAGGGCTGAAAGTCCCTCTCCCCATGCCCTAGGAAAACAAAGACCGGATGGCAAGGCTATTTCCCTCTACACAGACACATGGAGACTCCTTGCATCCCTGATGTCAGAGGCCGCGCTCTGCCATCAGACCAGGGACTCGCTCTAAGGGCGAGGGGCCGTGTCACCCCACCGGGCAGGAAGGAGGGATAGAGCCAGCTCCTCGCACCCTCACCCCCCTGCCTGGACGACGCCAGCGTCCCGTACCCTCCGTGATGTGGTGCCTCACCTCCACCAGCTGCGTGGCGACCCCCGCCAGGCAGGCCCCCAGCGCGGCGCCGCCCAGAGCCCAGAGCCGCCCCGCGCCTCTCCGCCGCCCGGCCATGTTCTCCCGCCGCCGCGCGCTCCGGCGCAGGTCCTGGGAGCAGGGGGCTGATGCACAGGGCTGCCAGGTGACTGCCCCTGGCCACCCGCAGGCGGTGACGGTGGTGGCGGCGGCGGCAGAGAATTCTGGCCGCGGGCGGTTGAGCCCGCATCATTTATTCATCGTGGGTGTCAGGTTCCTGGGACGCCACCTGCGCCATCACGGCTGGGATGAGGGTAGGTGTGGGTGGCACCGCCCCCTCCTCCGGGCTCTCGGACTTTTGTACCTCCCACTCCACTCCAAGGACACCGAGGAAGGGGAAGCAGGGAGGGAGAAAGGGACGGGTTGGCAGTAGGCCCTTGATCAACAGGATCCCAGCCCCACCCCGTCCCTTCCCTCTTGGGCCTCAGTTTCTCCACTTGGGACAAGGGGAGGGGCTGGAATCGACTGATCTAGAAGGCCCTTCCCATTCTGACGTCCTGAGTTTGGGGGGGAAATGGTACTGGACTTGGAAGGGGGCAGAGCGGGCATGTTGCCATAGTGACAGGCACTGAGGGATGTCCTGGCCTTTCTGGGCTGGCTTCCTGCCCAGAGGCAGCTCTGGTCACCCTGGACACCAGAGCAGGAGGGGGAGGGGGTATGGAGAATCAGGGAGAGTATAGTTAGAGCTGGCCAGATGTTGGCGTTGTGGAAGGACCCGCTCCACAGGACAAGGTCAGCTAGGGCCATTTTCTGACCCTGCTGACCGTCCTGCTATTTGCCTGGGCCTCGACTCTAGCAAGGTCTTGACGTTGGTCCCCTACACTGTGGGAACATTGACTGCTCAGGGATGGAGCTTCTGAGCAGCTGGGGAGACCTGGGCGAGGGACTGAAGCCCAAGGGGAGTGTAACAGTGGGAGCTTGGAGATGCTACCGCCCACTTCATCTTCCTTCCTTCTTTCCGACATCATCAGCCTCTTGAGTGCTCGGAGACCAGGACTCAGCATCTATCTCTCCCGGAGAACAGCAGTGAAGGCCCGCCCAGGCTATGTATGGGGGGGGGGACACCTCAGCAAGGCCTTACACCGGGTCTCACAGGGCTCTGTCTTGGATGTACCCTTGATGATAAGGACTGAGCTAGGCCTCAGAGTGGAGCAGAAGGCCAGCTGCCCTTCAGGGACTTCCGAGGAAAATGGCTGCTGTTTGAAAAAGACTAGAGGCCGGGGGAGGGGGGGGCGCTATTAAAGAGAGTCTCAACAGTAGATGGCAAAATCTAGGGGTCACTTCTTCCAAAGCAAGCAAGAAGCAAAACAAAATCCAAAACCAACACAACATGATACCCCCCTCCCCCAGGAATGCTTCTAAAACCAAAGCATTAGCAACAGGTCTCTGCCTCCTAGTTCCACATGAGCCTCAGCCACAGGCCAGGCCAAGGAAGGGCCACAGAAAGCTATACTGATCGCAGTGGGGGTTGGGGAGGTGGAGGTAAACATCCTCAGGGCATGCGCTTAGAGAGGCAGGGGTAGGCTTTGATCAGGTGAACCAGAGTGTGACATCTGTTGCTCCTCTCTGCCTCTATGTTCTGACCTAGGGAACGAGGAGCCAGTGGCTATTACAGGGTTAATGGCAGGGAAAGGGGAGTGTGTGGCGGCTGCTGGCTTTGAAAGCTGGCTCACCTCAGCAGAATACATAGGACTGCTGCTCCCAGGACTGGGAGGGCACTGCTGTTCAAAGTTCATTGTCATGGAGGTGGAGAGACAGCTCAGCCGCCCGGCCGTTAAGAGCACTTGTCGCTCTTGCGAGGGGACCCGGGTTTGATTCCCAACACCCACATGGTGGCTCACAACCACCAGTAACCCCAGTTCCAGGAGATTGGATATGCTCTCCTGAATTCAACAAGCATGTGGTGTACGTCCGAGCAAAACATTCATACACATACAATAAAATAAATAAATTTTTAAAAATTAAAGTTCATTGTCTTGTCTGTCCACCAAGAAGTAGGGCAAGCCAGAACTGTGGCTCAGTGGCAGAGTGCTGGCCTGGCATACACAAAGCACTGTGTTCAAACCTCAGCACTGCAAAGAGAAATAAAAATGAAGGAAATGGAGGGAAGGAGGGAGAGAGGGAGAAAAGCCAGCTGCGTCTCTGCAGGGTCTCTCTCTCTCTGTCTCTGTCTCTGTCTCTCTCTCTCTCTCTCATGTTTTGATGTAGGGTCTTGCTGTATAGCTCAGGCTGACCTCAGATAGGGTCTGGAACAGAGCTGATGGCTCCCTGTTCATCTCACATGCCTTTGAATCCAAGTCTTTTTATCCAACG